TTGTTGTTACCCTGTGGTGGTTTTGTCCATGAAACACATACACACATACAGATACACTCTCTAAAGCCTTTATTTTCCTTCCACATTTCCATGATTTAAGCCAAATACCCTGTAAACTACATTTGCCTGTAGCACATAGCTCTCTTCTGTGCTCAGTTTAAGAGCACAAACCCTAAAGTCTTCGTGTCATATGTATTTAATTCTTACTTCCAGTTCTTGACTTACCCCTTTCCAGTCAAGTTTGTTCACCCACCATCCACTAATCCCTTCTTTCTCAGTCACAGTAACCTCTGCATTTCTTAATCCAGTTTTTAATTTCCTGTCTTTATCTTTGTTTTCCTGTCAGCAGCTTGTTGCATATCCGATCATTCCCTCCTCTTTCTTAGTTTTGAGTTCTAGTGCCCAGGTGTGTCCAGTCTGTGTCCAGCACTGAGCACCAAGGCTCAGTGTGCTCCACTGCTGAGGGCTGAGCTCAGCCTGTGATCCCCCCTGGTGAGGGACTGTTCTGTGCCCTGGGTTTGGAGCTGTGCTCTGAAGGGGAGCTCAGTGCAGCCCAGCTCCCCTCTGCTACAGTGTGTGTGTGGGGGATTCACTAGGAGGGGAGCAGGGTCTGAAGGAGGAATCAAAGGATCACTAGTTCATCACTAGTTCAACACCCCTTGCTGTTATGGACAGGAGAGAACTGTCTTCTTACATGGGAAATCTTTCCTCTCCATGGGATTGTGGCACTGAAAGGGGGTGTTGATTGTCACCATTGAATATTGTATTTTTGACCTTCTGGATTGACTTTTTAAGATTTATGTGGGGTGAAGAAGAAGCCCAGATCAGGAGGAAGAGGAAAGAAAAGGAGTCCAGAATGGCTTTTACTCAGGTAAAGTGATAATCTTGGTGAATTGTTGTGTCTTACTCAGATGTTGGCATTGGAGTTGCTGATCTTCTCTGATTCTGAGCCATTCTGAATAATATGTTTGCTCCCCTTCCCCCATGCCTTCCTTCAGTTCTTCTCATCTCTGCTTTAATTCTAACTCACTGAGACCCAGTAACATGACTTCATGGAGAGGGTCAATTTGGTACAGTCCTGGGAAGGGCTTCATCCCCAGCCCTAGGTTAGGGAGGGGGTGTGGCCCTGTGATGTCAGTGCTGTTGGGCAGCAGGGACTGTACTAGGGCCACATCTGGGTGCACTGCCAGGACTCTGTAGAGGAGGATTAGACCAGCTGCACAGGGAAGTCATGGGGTAACATGTACATTCTGGAAAGGGCATTTTACGGGACATCTTTTCTGCCTGACTTTCTACTACATTTCAAGCTAAAGGACTGAGTCACTGTGTTTCTCATGCCAAATTGTTTATGATCAGGAAAAATATGGACAGATAGACATTAGTGATACAGAGTTTTTTATTCTATCATGTTTTATAATATGGAATCAACATAAATATCTGAGAGCAGTAGATGGGTTCAGTCATTCTCAGTGTTTCCATCCCACAGAGGCAGTGCTGTTCCTGCAGCAATTTCTTTTTTTTTTTTCTTGGTCCTCTCACAGACAGGAGTATAGTGGCCCAATCACACTGCACCTTCCAATTCCTGTGCTGAAGTCTTCCTTCCGTCCCAGCCTCCCATGTAGCTGAGAGTGCAGGGGCACATCCCTGTCCCTGGTTGCTTATTTTTCTGTATATAGAGAGGGGCACTGGTGATGTTACCCAGGATGGGGTTGAACTCTTGACCTGAAACAATCCTTACAGCTTGGTTTCCCAAAGTGCTGGGATTGCAAGCATGACGCACATGCCCAGCTGCAGAAAATTCTTCTGTGCATGTTTCACTGTGATATTTTATGGTACAGTTTTCAGATCATACACTTACAGATAATGCAGCATGGATATAAAGTTCATGTGCAGTTTATTATGTTAAACTATTTTAAATTACACACGAACTTTATGTCCATCCTATATTTGTCATAAAATGTTCATATTATTTAGCAAGCCATCTGTTTTCTTTTTGTTTTCAAAATTACATTGATAATTCTTTGAGTTACATAGTACATAAAGTTCAGTAGTATCCACAGATCCAGTGGGATTCTTAGAGTATATTCTGTGTGGCTGAGGGGTTTCTACCCTATTCTATATCCAGCATTTATTTATTATTATTTTTTAAACAAGAGTCTTACTATGTTGCCTTTGGTAGAGTGCGGTGACGTCACAGCTCACAGCAACCTCAAATTGCTGAGCTTAAGTGATTCTCTTGCCTCAGCCTCTCAAGTAGCTGGGACTACAGGCACCTGCCACAACGCCTGGCTATTTTTTGTTGTTGTTGTTATTGCAGTTGTCATTGTTGTTTAGCTGGCCCAGGCTGGGTTTAAACCCGCCAACCTGGATGTATGTGGCCAGCATCCTACCCACCAAGCTATGCGCTCTGCCTGTATCCAGCATTTAATACTAAGGCATGGTGTCCTCCATTTATAAAAGCTGAGATTAGCCTGTTATCCACAGAGCAGTGAGAGGGAATGTGTTCTGCTTTGGTTTTCATCAAGGCCTAGTTTGTCCCCTGAGGGGATCTTAGTCCAGCCCAGCTCCCCTTGCTGCAGCCTGGGAGTGGGCTTCACCAGGAGGGAAGCGGGTCTAAAGGAATGGTCCAGAAACTCTGTACTTGGCCTTCCTATAGGAGTTATTGTCCCTGAACCCCACTGGCTCAGTGGGCAGCAGCGGGCTGTGTTTGCACAGAGACTCATATTATTATTTTAGTGGATATGTTTAAGTGTATATGGGTATACCATATGTCAGTGTGTACACGTGATGTATGTGAATGGATCAGCATAGGCACATTATTGTCATAAATTTTATACTTTTTTGAAGTTGCAATTTCATGTTGGATATTTTCTATCCCCTTGAAATTGTTCTACACTGTCATGTTAATTAATTGATATTAGTAAGAAAGCTAACATATAACTTGTACACATGTGTGAATGTGTATATAATGACCTCTGATGCAGTTGCATGTTTTTATCCTTGAACTTGCTTCAACTTTTCTCTATTACATAATTCTCTGTCGATTTGCTTTTGAGGTTGGTCTGCTCCTTAACTGTTTGATTCATTAGATCTGATCCTAATGCACCATCACCTGGGACAGTGCTTACTAATAATAGTCACTGGGGTATTGAGCCAGTCCTCTGTGTCAGGTATCATCGCAGGTGAGTCATGTAAGAAGCCTCCAGATAGGGACTTTTAGCTCGCTGTCACTTTTAGCTCTTTGATCTCAGGCAATTTTTTTCTTAGAATGTCTGAGACATAATATTCTTTCTTACCATTGTTCTCATAATTTTTCTGGCATTATGATGGGAACAGAGCTCTTTTTTTTTTTTTTTTTTTTAGGTATAGTAGATAGTCCATGTAAAGGATTTAGATTAACACCTAACATATGGGAAGTGTTTACAAGTTTGCCCATGGGTATTGCTGTCATTATCACAAAATCATTAGATTCTGGTTTTTTTTTTGAAAGACAGTCTCACTCAGTCATGCCTGGCTAGTTTTTCTATTTTCAGTAGAGACAGGGTCTTGTTCTTGCTCAGGCTGGTCTTGAGCTCTTGAGTTCAGGCAATCCACCTGCCTCTGCCTCAGATTTCTAGGATTACAGACATGAGTCATGGTACCTGGTTGCATTCTGATATTTTTTAAAAGCCACTATGGACTTACTTATCTTGAAGATAGTACTCATATTCTAACTTTGTTTGGTGTGTCACACAGAATATCTCATACCTCTATAGAGAAAAGTGATAAGCCTATGTTAGTTTTTATTTGCATTTCTTACATTGTGCACAACAGTAAGATCTATACTAAATTAGAGAATATTGTAACTTCTGTGGAAAAACATAAGACATGTAAGACACTTAATCAACTCAAAAGTATATGCATGTGGATCTTTCAGAACATTCACTTGAATTGAATCCATTTTTACAATGCTTTTCTCATTTTGTGTGAAGAGAGGATTTCTCCCCATCTCTCATTGGTGAAATATGTTTTCCATTTTAGGGATGCTTGACATTCAGAGATGTGGCTATAGAATTCTCTCAGGAGGAGTGGCAGTGCCTGGCCCCTGCTCAGAGGGCATTGTACAGGGCCGTGATGTTGGAGAACTACAGGAACCTGGTCTCCCTGGGTGAGGATAAGGTGGCTGTCACAGTCGGGCTCTGCCCTTTGTGTCTTCGCATTTTCTCTTCTGTGCCTTGTGGGAGCCCCTGCATAGCTAGAGACGGAAACCTTATGGACTCAGAAATGAAAAGCTTCATATGCTTTCTGGACTTTGTCCCCTTTCTTCAGTTGTTGTTCCCCTTTCATGACACATCATTTTGTAGTATCACAGCTTATATATGCAAACAAAGCCTATGGCATACTTTTAAATAAGAGTATAGTTCCCTGTTTTCTGCTCCTGAGCTTTTGATTCAGTATTTCTTGATAGCTAAATGTTTGCATAGTACACTTTCGTAGACATTCATAAGGTGGTCATGTGTGGGTGAATTTGTAAAATATTTTTCTGGATCCATTTGTAACGTCCTCTGTCTTATCTAATCATAGGGCTTGGAGTTTGACAAAGCCACAGCACTTCTTGATGCTTTGTTTTTATAATCAGGACTCTTGCCTCCTGAAGTGACTGTTCTCTCCACGTTGGAGGAAGGGAAAGAGCCCTGGACTATGAAGAGTGAAATGAACCCAGCAAAAAACCCAAATATGGGGAAATGGATCAAAGGTGTGAACTCAGGTAAGAGCTCAGATGCGCACAGTGGAACCCACACTATTAAACAGTGTGTGAGAAAGTCTGTAAGTGTGTGTGTGGGGTTTCTGTGTTTATAGAAAAGGTTAAATCCTATGAGCTGTAAGCACAAATCTTTGCCCGCACTTATTACCACTCTGTTCTTTAGCCATGTCATAGTTTTTGCTTCGCCCTCCAGTGGCACTGCGCTCAGACAAGAAGGCAAATTCACTATTTATTGAAGAACACCTCTGTGAACTCTTTGGCTCTCTGTGTGTGACACAGGGAGGGCCATTTCCAAGGGATCTCTTTCTTTTTTTTTTTTTTTTTGAGACAGAGTTTCACTATGTTACCCTCAGTAGAGTGCTGTGGCATCACATCTGATAGCAACCTCAAACTCTGGGGCTTAAGTGATTCTCTTGCCTCAGCCTCCCAAGTACCTGGGACTACTGGTGCCTGCCACAACCTCCGGCTATTTTTTATTTTTTTGTTGCAGTTGTCATTATTGTTTAGCTGGCCCAGGCTGGGTTTGAACCCACCAGCCTTGGTGCATGTGGTTGGTGCCGTAACCACTGTGCTAAGGTGCCGAGCCCAAGGGATCTCTTTCTCTTGTGGCATCTCCTTCCGTGTTTTATTCCATCTGATGCTCAGTTCTCTGTCCTTAGAAGTCAGAGCTGATGCTACCATAGACCCAACTCCTTGACCTCTTTAGGTTCCACACTTTTTCTGTATTTGGATGATCTAATCTGGATGTGGGAAATCATTGGCTGCTCTTTCTTTGTGTGTGGGACCAGGAAACAGCACAGAGGTGTCTCCAGCCCTCTCTGCCTGTTCAGTTCAGTTTAAGAGGAAGCCAAAAGTTTTTCCTGTTCTTACCTGTAACTCAACACTGTGCCTCTCTTCTGGTCAGGAAAATGTGTTGGGTTTCTCTCCACTAACAGTCAAAACTTGGGTTTCCTGCGCTTCATGTCCGACTCTGTCTACCTAGAGTTAGAATCAGATCCCTTAGGCTGAGGGCTGACTCCTGAGTCCTCAAGCCTGCTTCCCGTGTGATACTCCATTCACAAGTAGAAGGTTGTCACCTGTCCTTCCGACCCACCAGCTATAATTTGGAAGTTCCTTGTAGTCCTGCTCAGGTGTGATTATTAGTAAGGTATCAGGCTGATTCACAGCTCTCAGTGACACACTTTCTGTGTCTGTGGTTAATTATAAGGGACATTTGAGAGGACACACGATGAACACCCAGATGAAGAGGGTCATAGGGCAAGGCTGGTTGAAACTTCACTGGGTGCCCCATGTGTTTGGCATCTGGAAATTTTCCTAACTCCATGCTGTAGGCTTTTTATGGAGATGTCATCACGTGGGCATGGTTGATGTTAACTCAGCCTCTAGCCCTCTCCCCTTCCTTGAGGATGTTGGTTGGTGCTAAAAGTTTCAGGGTTCTGATAACAGTTTTGTCTTTTGGTGATGCACCCTTATGCAGGACACTGTAGAGGCAGCCACATTGGAACATACCCTGTTCCTGTCGCCCAGGAAAATTCCAAGGTTTCAGGAATCTAATGTGATTTATCCACACATTGCTGGAGTGTGTACAAGGAGACTATGTTGGGTCTTCTGAGATTATTACTATTACTCAGTAGGTGAAAAAGTCAGTGGACAGAAGGGTCCTTTTTGGATCCCCAGTTCCACGTGGGGGTGGGTAGCTCACTGAATGATACCTCTAGTTTTAAGTCCACTGTCATTTGTTTCAGCCACTGCTAGTCTCATCCTGTACATTTTTATGTATTATAAATTAACGTGGTTTTTTAAAATATATATTTTTGAGATGGAGTCTCACTCTGTTGCCTAGGCTAAAGTGCCATGGCATCAACTTAGCTCCCAGCAACCTCAGATTTTTGGGTTCCAGCTATCCTCCTGCCTTAGTCTTCTGTATAGCTAAGACTTTAGGTGCCTGTCTAATTTTTTTTTTTTTTTAGTTTTAGTAGAGAGCGAGGGGCAGGGGTCTCTTTCTTGGTCATGCTGGTCTTGAACTCCTGCACTCAAGGGATCCACCTGAGTGGATCCTTCAGCCTCCCAGAGTGCTAGCATTACAGGCATGAGTCACTGCCCGGGGCCTGATTTCTTTTTTTGTTTATTTTTTATTGTTTAAAAAAGTTTTAATTAGTAATTTAAATATATTTTTTGTCTCTGAGTTGCTACCTAGCATTAAAATGTACTTTTATCATTTATTTTAGTCTATGAATTGGAATTTTTATTTTGTCATCCCCGTTAGAGTGCAGTGGTATCATTGTAGCTCACTGCAGTGTCAAACTCCTGGGCTCAAGTGATCCTCCTCCATCACCTTTCAGAGGAGCTGAGACTACAGGTGTGCACCATGACTCATGGTACATCTCATGATATAACATGCATAACACATTTCTGAAGTTTCCTTTCAATTTTCTAATGATAAATCTGTGGATATTTTTTCAGTGTTAGAATTTGTTTCATGGATCAAATGCTATTTCTGATAATAGTACTTCCTGTCTGGATTCATCATGTCTATTGTGATATGCTAAGTTAATTTTTGAATTTGTCATAGTATTTTATGGGAAAGTTTCCCAGTTTCTTGTAGTTTATGGAATTCTTCTCTGTTGTTGTTTATATCACTGTTGTTGTAGGTTTTGCAAAATTTCTGAAGTTCTGTAAATCGTATTGAGATAACTTCTGAAGTCTGTTTTGCTTCCCGTCATTCTTTCCACGTGAATCTCCTGTGATGTTCTCCTGGTCCCTGCTGACCCATAGCCTGGTGCTGTCCTGTTCTCTGGATCTTTTTTGCTGCTTATGTTGCAGATGACCATGTACATGGTGTCCACAGCACTACCGAGACATGTTTCTGCTGTTTGCTGCTGCTAACGGTGCCCTTGAATATGAGCCATCCTCACAATGGGTTGTTAACTTACTTGGAGCATGTGATTATTTATGTTGTTCGGGTGATAATTATGAAGGTAGATTTATTTATTTTAGATACATGCACATATGCTTTCATTCATTCATAAGCACAGTGCTACATCTACTAGTATGTAAAATGGTTCCCCAACACCATTTTTTTTTTTTTTAGAGACAGAGTCTCACTTTATCACCCTTTGTAGAGTGCTGTGGTGTCACAGCTCACAGCAACCTCCAACTTCTGTGCTTAAGTGATTCTCTTGCCTCAGCCTCCTGAGTAGCTGGGACTACAGGTGCCCGCCACAACACTCAGCTTTTTTTTTGTTGCAGTTTGGCTGGGGCTGGGTTCAAACCTGCCACCCTTGGTATATGGGGCTAGCACTCTACTCACTGAGCCATAGGCACTGCCTACCATTTTGTTTTTCAAGACTTCTTACATTGTATGAGCTTAGCAGGGCTAAAATAGATGCTTTTCTCATTGTTTGAGTTTAAATTTAAGTGCTAGGATCATAGGCTAATAATATCATCTCTGGGTATATGAAATGTGTGAGCCACTGTGCATGCCCTTACCATGAGTTCTGTATCCATAGATTCCATGAAGCCCAGATCAGCAGGGCATACGCAGGGATCGGAAAGGGAGGCTCTGTTTTCAATCTGCATTTGGTTGAATCTGAGCACATAGAAACCAGAGATAAGGAAGAGCATCCACAGAATTTGGTATCATGGGCTGGGAGGGACCTGAGCCTGACCCTTTTGGATACTGAGGAACAACTGTATTTTTATTTTATCTTATTTATTTTTTATTATTTTTAATTTTTAATAACTTTTTGATAGAATTAATACAAGTGGGCTTTCACTTTTTTTCTTGTCATAGAGGAAAAAAGCCTTGATTCTTTCAACTTTGAGTGTGAAGTTAGCTGTCAGCTTTTCTTTTTTTTTTTTGCAGTTTTTGGCTGGGGCTGGGTCTGAACCCGCCACCTCCAGTATATGGAGCCAGGGCCCCACTCCTTTGAGCCACAGGTGGTGCTCCAACTGTCAGTTCATTTTTATATATGGACTTTATTTTGTTAAGTAGATCCCTTGTGTTGAATGTTTTTATTACGAATTGTTCACAGTTTTTTTTTTTTTTTTTTGAGAAAAAGTCTCAAGCTGTTGCCTTGAGTAGAGTGCTATGGCATCATAGCTGATAGAAACCTCCAACTCTTGGGCTTAAGTGATTCTCTTGCCCCAGCCTCCCAAGTATAGGCCTAAGTATAGCTGGAACTATAGGTGCCTGCTGCAACACCTGGCTATTTGTTTGTTGTAGTTGTCGTTGTCATTTGGTAGTCCCAGGCTGCATGTGGCTGGTACCCTAGCCACTGAGCTACAGTGGAGCCTGAATTGTTCACATTTTTAAGGGGCTTTTAGTGCATCAACTGGGATGAGTGTTTGGCCTTTTTCTTCTGTTATTGTGGAGTATGACACAGATTGATGTTTCTATGTTGCACCCACCTTGCATTTCAGGAATAAATCTCATTTGATCATGATTTGTGATTATTACCTGTGCTGCTGAAGATTTGTCATGTTTGTAATTTGATGAGAATTTTTGCATTTGATTAATCACGAAAATTGTCCCATAGTTTATTTGTAGGGCTATTATCTGGCTTTGGTGTGAAGGTAACACATGTCTCCTTGAGTGAGTTTGGAAGTGTCTACTCCATTGTTAATTTCTGGAAAATTTTAAGGAGTATTTGTGTTACTTTTTTTTTTTTTACTATTTGATAGTTTTTGATATTTGCAGTCGTCTGGTTCTGTACTTTTCTTTAATGGGGAAGTATTTGATCACTGAATCAATCTCTTTGTTATTGGTATGTTTAGATTTTCTCCTTCTTGATGCCTAAGTCTTTGTAAGTGGTGTACGTAGTCTTTCTAGAAATGGATGCATTTCTTCTTGGTTATCAAATTTGTTGTTAGATGACTGTGCAATCTCATTCTCTTAATTTCTTTTTCATTTATATAGAATCCATTGTATGGTTACCTTTTCTCTTCTAATTTTAGTTATTTCTGCCTTCTGGACTTTTTTTGTCTTTTAGTTTATCTGGCCAAGAGTTTATCAATCTTCCTATCATTCAGTGTACAATTTGTTGTTTTTGTGACTTTCTCTAGTGCTTTTCCATTCTCTATTTTGTTTGTTTTCTAATCTTTATTCCTCTTTCTGCTACTAATGTGTTTACTTTGTTTTTATACTTTATTGAAGTAAAGAGTTATATTATATGTGATGGTTGATATTTTTAATGTAAATGGTTAGAAATATCTTTGCCAGCAATATTTTTGCTGCAGGTTATGTTGTAGTATGTTATGTTTTCCTTGTCCTTTATATCAAGGTGTTTTCTGATTCCCCTTGTGATTTCTTTAAGAAATTGGTTTTATTAATAATGTGATGATTAATTTGTATACATTTGTTAATGTCCTTGTTTTGCTTTTGTAAGTTTCTAGGTTTATTTTGTTAGAATAATTTGAATTATCCTATTCTTTTTTTTTTTTTTT